ATGGGAGACCTGCATTAAAAAAGAGAAGGAGGAAGAGGAGAAAGGAGGAGAAAGGAGAAGGAGGAAGAAGAGGAAGAGGAGGAAGGAGAAGGAGGAAGAGGAGGAAGAAAGAGATAAAGAGGTAGAAGAGGAAGAGGAAGAAGGAGAAGGAGGAAGAGAAGGAAGAAAGGGATGAAGAGGAAGAAGAGGAAGAAGAGGAAGAGGAGGAAGGAGAAGGAGGAAGAGAAGGAAAGAGAGGAGAAGGAGAAAAAGGAGGAAGAGAAGAAGGAGGAGGAGGAGGGGGATGAGGGGGAGGGGAGAGAAAGGAGTGGGAAGAATCGTGCCCCTGTTGGAGTCTGTCAGTCTGGGCACTGGGCACTGGGGAGCTGGTCCAGGTGTTTGGGGAAGGCTGTGATCTCCACACTCGTCTGCCAGACTCCCTTGGCACAGATGTGTTGGCATCAACTTTATCTATGCTAAGTACTTCATGCTAAGTACACACAGCAGAGCCAGGTCACACGAGGTGTCTGTCCTCACGGAATGTTAAATGCTGTGCAGAGTTTGAGCAGGCCCCTGTGACTGGAAGGGTGAGGACAAGCTGCTCCGCCCAACATGAGGACGGCCTGAGTTATGCCAAGTCAGCCCAGAACTGTAAGGGGTCAGCTTGTAGCAGTCAAAAAGAGCATTCCGGACAGAGGGGACAAAGCACAGAGGGCCTTAGGGTAGTGTCTGTGGAGCAAACAGAGGACCTGTGTGGTTGGCATAGGATGGGCGAGAGGAACCTGTTACATAGGGAAGATGACATCAGAAAGAGACGCAGACCAGATCTGCCCAGAGAGGCCCTCCTTTCGGTTTGGATTTTCATCCGTGTGTGAGTTGAGTCTGTTGATGTGCACTGGAGATGAGGGGACGGATTCTGACCCCTTGCTGAGTCAGTTCTCACGCGTGTTCTCCTCCCCTCCCCCATCCCCTACAGCCTCCTGAACCATGGCAGCTCAGTGCACCCCGTCTATTCTGACCGTCCTGGTGTTGCTCGGCTCAACCAGAGCGGGTCCTTTCTCTCCTCGGTCCAATGTGAGGCTCCGGGCCCCACGGCCCCCTCCCCAGCCGGGTGGCGCGTCCTCTCAACTGTACGAGCATACCGTGGAAGATGGAGAGAAGCAGGTGGTGTTCACCCACCGTATTAACCTGCCCCCGTCAGCTGGCTGTGGCTATCCCCCGGGCTCTGAACCCCCGGTGCCTGCTTCAGAGGTGCAGGCCCTGAGGGTCCGGCTGGAGGTCCTGGAGGAGCTTGTTAAGGGCCTTAAGGAACACTGCTCAGGAGCGTGCTGTCCCACCGCGGCCCAGGCTGGCACAGGTGAGCCACTGACTGGGGTGGGCTAGGGTGAGCAACAGAGGGAGAAGACGGCGGGGATGGGAGAGCTGCTAAGCAAATAGGAGCTAAAATGATCTTATGAAAATAGGCTGTCCCATAAAATAATTACATGGGACGGGTCTCACTTCTGCTTACTGCTCCAGGCCAGACAGACGTGCGCAGTCTCTGCAGCCTCCATGGTGTCTTCGACCTGAGCCGCTGCGCCGGTTCCTGTGAGCCTGGCTGGGGTGGACCCACCTGCTCAGACCCTACGGACACAAAGCCGCCCACCTCGTCGCCTCCCTCAGCCTCCAGGGCCTGTCCCGAAGACTGCAATGACCAGGGCCGCTGCGTGCGAGGACGCTGCGTGTGCTTCCCAGGCTACAGTGGCCCCAGTTGTGGCTGGTCCTCTTGCCCTGGAGATTGTCAGGGGCGCGGGCGCTGCGTGCAGGGTGTGTGCGTGTGTCGCCCAGGCTTCTCGGGCCCTGACTGCAGCCAGCGCTCCTGCCCTCGCAACTGCAACCAGAGAGGACGCTGCGAGGAAGGACGCTGCGTGTGTGACCCCGGCTACTCCGGTGAGGATTGTGGGGTGCGGAGCTGTCCCAGGGGCTGCAACCAGAGAGGACGCTGCGAGGAAGGAAGCTGCGTGTGTGACCCCGGCTACTCCCGTGAGGACTGCGGGGTGCGGAGCTGTCTCAGGGGCTGCAACCAGAGAGGACGCTGCGAGGAAGGACGCTGCGTGTGTGACCCCGGCTACTCCGGTGAGGACTGCGGGGTGCGGAGCTGTCCCAGGGGCTGCAGCCAGAGGGGTCGCTGCGAGGACGGCCGCTGCGTGTGCGATCCCGGCTATAGCGGCGAAGACTGCGGCGTGAGGAGCTGCCCGTGGGACTGTGGCGACGGAGGGCGCTGCGTGGACGGCCGTTGCGTGTGCTGGCCCGGGTACTCGGGCGAAGACTGTAGCACGCGGACGTGCCCTCGTGACTGCCGTGGCCGGGGCCGCTGCGAGGACGGGGAATGTATCTGTGACGCGGGCTACAGTGGCGACGACTGCGGTGTGCGGAGCTGCCCCGGGGACTGTAACCAAAGGGGCCACTGTGAGGACGGCCGTTGCGTGTGCTGGCCCGGGTATACCGGAGCGGACTGCAGCACGCGTGCCTGCCCACGGGACTGCAGGGGCCGCGGGCGCTGCGAAAACGGCGTATGCGTGTGCCACGCGGGCTACAGTGGCGAGGACTGCGGGGTGCGCAGCTGTCCCGGGGACTGCCGCGGCCGTGGGAGCTGCGAGAGCGGCCGCTGCGTGTGCTGGCCCGGGTACACAGGCCGAGACTGTGGCACGCGTGCCTGCCCCGGTGATTGTCGTGGGCGCGGCCGCTGCGTGGACGGCCGCTGCGTGTGCAATCCGGGCTTCACTGGTGAGGACTGCGGGAGCCGTAGGTGCCCTGGGGACTGTCGCGGTCACGGCCATTGCGAGAACGGCGTGTGCGTGTGCGCCGTGGGCTACTCCGGCAATGACTGCAGCATGCGCAGCTGTCCCAGCGGCTGCAGAGACCGCGGCCGGTGCCTGGACGGGCTCTGCGTGTGCGACGAAGGCTACTCCGGTGAGGACTGTGGCGTAAGACGGTGTCCGCGCGACTTCAGCCAGCGCGGCGTGTGCCAGGATGGCGTGTGCATGTGCCACGCGGGATACGCGGGCGAAGACTGCAGCATTCGCACCTGCCCGGCCGATTGTCACCGGCGTGGCCGCTGTGAGGACGGGCGCTGTGTGTGCAACCCAGGCTACACCGGGCCCGCATGTGCCACCCGCACCTGCCCAGCTGATTGTCGTGGCCGTGGGCGCTGTGTGCAGGGAGTGTGCGTTTGCTACGCTGGCTACAGCGGGGAGGACTGTGGGCAGGAAGAGCCTCCTGCCAGTGCGTGCCCTGGGGGCTGTGGGCCACGGGAACTGTGCCAAGCTGGACAATGTGTGTGTGTTGAGGGCTTTCGAGGCCCAGACTGTGCCATCCAGACGTGCCCAGGTGACTGCCGAGGCAGGGGAGAGTGTATCCAGGGCAGATGCGTCTGCCAAGATGGCTATGCAGGGGACGACTGCGAGGAAGGTGAGCCAGGCGCCTTCTCCAATAATCTGGGGCAGGAACAGGGGTTCTGGTAGCAGGAGCCTGAGGCCTAGGGACCTAGAGGAAGAACGAAGAAAGTTGTTCCCTGCACAGCGAGAGAGGGGTCGGTCAGAAGGACCCTGACAACCAAGGGTAGTGGAACCACAAGCATGTGCCAGTGGAAAGCCTGACCTGGATTTCTGGGGAGAGTTGCCTTTAAGTTTTTATACTCAGGACATGGGGGACCTGCGTTTGGGCAGTGGGAGCCCCTCCATGTGGCCCTGAGTGACAGAGGAGCCACAGGGATGCTGCTACTGGCTAACAGCTTATCTTGTTCCATTCTGGGCAGAGATACCAGCCATCCAGAACATGAGGATACATCTTCTAGAGGAGATGACAGTCAGGACAGAGTGGACACGGGCTCCTGGTCCTGTGGATGCCTATGAGATCCAGTTCATCCCCATGGTGAGGCAAGATGGGCAGCATTCGGGGAGAGGGAGGGAGAGGGGGGAAGGGAGGGCTCACGTCATGCAAGAAGTCACACTCGTGAGACTCCAGATGACTGGTGCCTGTGTCTGCTCCCAGCCTGGCACAGAGGCATCAACATTGGTCTGTGGCAACTAAGGTATTGATGATAACGGTGAGCTCACTACTCCTGGCTGCTCAGTGTACAGCAGGCAGTCAGTGTTAGATTTTGTTTGTTTGATTGACTGATTGATTTTATTTATATGAATACACTGTCGCTGTCTTCAGACACACCGTGAGACGGCATCAGATCCCATTACAGATGGTTGTGAGCCACCATGTGGTTGCTGGGAATTGAACTCAGGACCTCTGAAAGATCAGTCAGTGCTCTTAGCCGATGAGCCGCCTCTCCAGCTCTGCTGTTAGTTTTTGTTTTGAGTCCACATCAGCCCCCCATTCTGCACCCACTATTTGCCTTGGCTGGGCACCAGCAGTGGGGTACATGGTACTGTCCTTGCTTCCTGTTCTCAGGGTGCTCAGCCGCCACCTCGTTCTTCTCAGACAAACCCCCAGCCTCTCCCTCATGCTCTGTTCTCAGACTCTTTACTATCTATGCCTCTGCCTTTCCATAATGCCTCCCAAACGACATTTTCTCAGTTTCTACATATTAATCTGCCCTCAACACAAACTCTCAGTGGTTTTGACCATGTTTATTTATCTTTTTATTGTAAATCTCACAGAAGTCCAAAGCAAAACATTTAAAAATTATAAACAGAGCCGGGCGGTGGTGGCGCACACCTTTAATCCCAGCCCTCGAGAGTCAGAGGCAGGCAGATCTCTGAGTTTGAGGGTAGCCTGGTCTACATAACTAGTTCCAGGACAAGCCAGGGCTATGCAAAGAAACTCTGTCTCAAAAACAAACAACCACCCCAAAACAAATCACACCCCCTCCAGAAAAAAAAAAAACAAGAAAAGAAAAAGACGAAAACGTAGATAAGCAAAAAGGATGGAGAGAATGGAAGGAAGAAAGGAAGGAGGGAGGAAAGGAGAGAGGGAAGGAGAGAAGGAGGGAGGAAGGGAAGAGAGAGAGAGGAAGGGAAGAAAGGCAGCCGGCTATCACTTTAGTCTATATATAGGTTTTGCCTTAGGCTCTGTTTAATGTTACCATTCTTGGTTTAGGCCAAGCTGTCTGAGCCGTCACAACTTGTCCCCCCCCCCCCCCCCCCCCCCCCCCGTGCTTGTCGTCTTCTCCCAGCATTCCTCTGCCTCTAACTTGCTTGCTCGAGAGCTCAGGGAGGATGAGGATGAAGCTGTAGCCTCTCTCTGGGGACCGCCCTGTAGTTGCCTGTCCTTTCTCCCACTGCTCGGTCATCTGGCCTTTCCTACATCATCCCGCAAACAGTGGGCAAGACCACACTTGTAACTCTAGACAGACACGTTCCCTGGCCCTAGACCCTCAGTGCTGGGGCAGAGGGGATCGTGCCAAGGTGTTGGCTGCCGTCCTTACCCCAGGGCAGGTCCCATGGGACGGTCTCCAGCTGTATCCCAAGCCCCAGTCCCTACTTGGTGGTACAACCAAGATAGCCCGCCTTCTCTTGTTTAAATTTTTTATATAAAAATAATCAGGAGACAAGAATTTGGCAAGTGGAGAAGAGAAAACTGGTAGCTGGCCCCGCGACAGGAAAACAAGTGTGCTAACACTTTATGAAGTGTTCTTCCACTCGGGGTTAGTGTACATTATTTACACAGCTCTAATCAGGAGGGTGGGACTTCAGAAGGAATTTTCCTATGAACCTTCAGGGGAAGGAGAAATAAAATAAACAGTTAAGATAACAGAAGCCCTCAGGCACTGTTGTCTCTGGCTCCAAACACACACAGCCCCATCTTTGGGTGTTGTTGAGGGGTGTGGCGGCTTTTGCCTCTGCTCTGAACGGGGTGGTGTACGGTGTTGTGCGCCAGGCCTTGCCCCACCCCCACCCGCACCTCTGCTCTAGGATGGGACCCTTCCAGGTCCTGTGTGAGGCTGTGTGTTAGTCAGACACCTGGCTCATGCTCAGCAGCTCAGCCCTGCTTTGTTAGCTCTGTGGTGACTCTTGGTGGGCCTGAGGCTTCCCACAGGGAGCCTACTCTACAGTTCACCGTCATCCCCTGCCTTCTCCCTCTAAGCCTGTCGCTCCCTCGTTTCTACCAGCTTCCCCCCACCCTTCCCCAGAAACAGTTCTCTCTCAGAACTGGACTCTGCTATTCCTGACCAAGTGCACACTTTTCAGAACTTAGGACTAGCCTTCCCCTCCTGTGTGTGTGGCTCGTCACGATGACTCCATGGCTCTCAAATGCTTCCTCCATCTCCAGGTCTGAGTGAGGGCTGTGGAGGCAAGGAGCAGGGGAAAGAATCCGTTGGGACAAGAATTCATGCTCATGGCCTCAAGCTCCAACTGCCCCCTCTCTTCTACAAGATATGAGAGAGTCTGTGACCCGAGGGACCTGAACATGAATTAGAGACCCTTGGGTGTTCCTTGTCAGAATGTCTTCCTGAGCCTGGAAAAGAGCTGGACCAAGTGCTCACTGGAACACAGACCCAGGCCTTGGAAGCCTTTTTCTTGGGTCTCCTGTGAGAGGAAAGATGGAAGCGAGGTCCTTCTGGGTACCATGCAAGCTGGATTTTGCCTGTGGGGCCACGAGGCTGATGTTGAGAATCAAGTTAAAGGTTGCCAGTAACAATAAGTGAGGAGGCCAAACTTTACCGGGGAGCAGTGCCAGCCGCCAGCATCTGCTGCTTCATACCGGCATGATGGAACTGGGCAGCATGGGTGAGGCTGGCAGGGACTTCCAAGGCTCTGCTATTGAGCGTGTTGTGGGAGAAACCAAGATATAGAGGTCAATACAAAGAAAGAATTCAGGATGATGTCGAGGTGAAAGATATCGACTTTGTGGGCATATCATAGGAGAGACAGAGTGGAAGTGACGACTTTATGGACATATCATAGACGGACATACTGATTCGAAATGATGTCCAGGCAGGCTCCAGGAGGTGGGAGTTTGGGAGGGTGTCATATGTGCTGGGCGAAGGCCGCCCCATGGCCTCGCAGAGAGGATGAGATTCTCCGTACCCAGGGGAACTTTTCCACCCGGAAAACAGTGACAGAACTTTTACTTCATCCTCACCCAAAAATCTCCACGTGGCTTCTCATCTGGTTTTGTACTTTGGTATTTACTACGCTTTCTTGGGTTAGGACAGTTCCTTTCACATTTTCCAGTTCCATCTGGCTGAATGGAGGTGTCCCTAACCATGGCCAACATAGCTAAGCAGGACAGTGTGTGCTCAGCGGAGGCTACCCTTGCTAGGCAGCCCTAGGAGATGTAGGGCTGTCAGATGCTCACAGACACCCAGCCCCGCCCCCGCCTCCCAGCAGCTGGGCCTCTAGGAGCCTGCAAAGCCACACCACATAATCTCATAACTTTAAACACACGCCCTGGAGGAGAACTAGTGTTCTTGTGGGCATTTACCACACTTTGAGACTGGAGAGGGAGAGGTCTACTTTTGGCTACTAGGTTATGCCCAACCAAGGGGACTGGAACGGCATCTTTATTATTTGAATCTCAGGCACACGGCATGGTGCCAGGTACAACAGCACTCAGGAGACGTACTAGTGGAGCTTTGCGCAAATGAGCCTTGATTTAAGGGGTACACAAGGCCGCTGAAGAGACAATGTCTAAGGGGACTCCCAAGTCACACACAGACAGCCCTGCTCTCATTGGAAGAGCCAGCTAAGCAGGCGTGGGGAGAGAGGGGATGCAGGATGTCTCTGCTGAGCATCCTCTGTTCTGAAAGATCATGTTTAGGAATCTTGGGTCACCAAGGGAACCAGAGGGTCTCTGGGTGGAAGTCTGGTGAATGAGCAGGGATTGCCCATGAAAGGGGAGTCTGGGGACACACTACAGCACTCTCTCTGGTTTCTTATATTTTTAAAGATTTATTTTCCAGTGTGGGGGTACAAGCCTGTAAACCCAGAACTTGGGAAGCAGAAGTAGAGGCAGACAGATGTCTGTGAGTTTGAGGGCAGCCTGAGCTACAGAGTGAGTTCCAGGACAGCCAGGGCTACATAGTGAGACCCTATCTTAAAAAAAAAAAAAAACAAGGCAAAACAATAACAACAAAAGATTTATTTTGTGTGTGTGTGTGTATGTACAAATGCATATACACATGTGTGTCTAGGTGTCCAATGAGGGCAGAAAATGGCATCAGATCCCCTGGTGCTAGAGTCACAGGCAATTGTGAGCAACTTCAAGTGGGTGCTGGGAACTCAACTCTGGTGTAGTAGTCGTCTTGGTCATAGTCCTGTCATCATTGTCATAGTTGAAACTGCTGCTCTTCCTCCTCCTCTTCCTCTTCCTCCTCCTCCTCTTCTGTTTTTGTTTTGCTTCTGTTTTTCAAGACAGGGTTTCTCTGTGGAACTCACTCTGTAGACCAGGCTGGCCTCGAACTCAGAAATCCACCTGCCTCTGCCTCCCAAGTGCTGGAATTAAAGGCATGTGTCACTACACCCAGCTTGGCCCCATCTTTCTTAAGAAAATTATTTTGTGTATAGCAGTGTGTCTGTGTGTGTTTCTGTGTGGGTATACACACGTCAGTACAGACATCTGAGGAGTCCAGTGGTGGGAGCTAGAGTTACACGTGGTTACGAGCTGCCCCACGTGGGTGCTGGGAGCTTAGTTCCTCTGCAAGAGCAGTAAGTGACCTCTGCAGCCTTCAGGAGAGCAGTCTTCTGCTCTCCTGTTGTGACAGGCTCCTTCTGAGTCCCCATCTGTCCTTGACTGAGCTGACAGACATAAACCACAGAGAAGAGCCGCTGGCCAGAGCGAGCGTCTAGTCTTGGCTCCCCTGCTTGTACAGAGGGTCAAGTCCCACACAGTTCTATGCTGACACCATTTGGGATTGTTCAAAGGAACCGAGTGCCCAGCTCTGACACATCCTGAACTCTCTTGCAGACCGAGGGGGCCAGCCCACCATTCACAGCTCGGGTGCCCAGCTCTGCCTCAGCCTATGACCAGCGAGGACTGGCCCCTGGTCAGGACTACCAGGTCACTGTCCGTGCTCTCCGAGGGACCAGCTGGGGTCCTCCTGCCTCTAAGACCATCACTACCAGTGAGTGCTGGGTCTGAGGGGGCAAGATTTCTGGATTTGACAGGCAGCAGGGAATTGGCTTGGGGTGGGGTCTGTACCAGAGCAGAGCAAAGAGGATTCACTACTGAGCCCTCTTCTGTCTGACCCCACTAGTGATCGATGGTCCTCAGGACCTCCGAGTGGTAGCTGTGACCCCGACCACACTGGATCTCAGCTGGCTGCGCCCACAGGCTGAGGTGGACCGATTTGTGGTGTCCTATGTCAGCGCTGGCAACCAAAGAGTGCGACTGGAAGTTCCCCCTGAGGCAGACAGGTCTCAGCTAACCGACCTGATGCCAGGCGTGGAGTATGTGGTGACTGTCATTGCAGAAAGAGGCCATGCTGTCAGCTACCCAGCTTCCATCAGAGCGAATACAGGTACGGTGGTCCTGGCATTCCGGGTGTTAGGGAAGAGTCTGGTTTCTGAAACTGGGGGTCCTTTCCTTGGGCACCCAGGCTGGAG